AAACAATTATTTCATGGAGATAGGTGGTACCGCTTACTCTCATAAATGGAGAGTGATGGAGGAGGACAATCTTCATTGACTTGTGCTTCCCTTGTCTTCCTTCTCTTGTTTGACTTAAGTGATATCTTGCACAAGAATCGAAGTAATAGTGGAATTTGGCGGTTTCTGTTGAACTTGGCGGTTTCTGTTGAACCTTGGTAAAACCGGTAGGCAAACTTACCAAGAACACTAATGGATAAGTAATCGGTGTTAGAGAGGTGACAAGATCAATTTGATTACTAAGCTTGATCTTGCAATATTTCAATATCGGCTTCATAGTTCCACCAACACTCAACATAGGAGGCGTATGGTGTGTCTCACTTGATTCCTTAGCCGCATTACTTGCTTTCAAAGCCCATACTTTGTGACTAGCCAATTGGTGAGCTAAGATGACACCATAATTAGTGTCGTTCTAAAGATGGATTGGGTGACCATCATTAGGCCCATCTATGAGGGATTTGATACCACGGACAAAGAGACACATCTCGCTTTCCTTAACGTTCCCAGTATAATTTCTTGCAGACATTGTATTTGCTATGATTTGGTACACATACCGAATGATTGGGTTTCTTATCCGTGAAGATTTTGATACTCCCTTAGAGTATTTATTGGTTGCAATGAGAAACAAAATACGTGCCGGTTCCTTGGAAATCATAAAACGCCAAAGTTCTCGCTTTGAAAGTCAAATAGGTTGCGAAATTCTTAGAATGTGACCGTGTACGGCTTTCCTCCAACCTTGAAATCAATTTTTCCGAGAGTTTCGGGTTTCCGATTTTGGTGATTGACCTTCATCATTGGATGCAAAGAATTGAAGTGTGAGATTCTTGTAAGATGGATATTATTTTTGTGAAGAAAATAGCCAAACCCATGTTGATCATGATTGCTTCCACATCATCAAGAATTCCAAGTTGAGCAAGGAGCTCTTTATCCACATATTTGGTTGGGACCATTTCACATTTCTGAAACTCCTTGAGATAAACGGTATAAGTGGGCACCTTAACTTTTGCCTTAGGAACCACTTTCTTTGCTTTTCCTTTTTTTACTAGAGCTAGCTCCATCATCATTGCTCTTAGTAGAAGTGATCACTCGAGATTGGTCATCCTCACTTTCATCGTTCGTATTTTCTATTCGTTTATGTCCCATTTTCAAGTGTGGTACCTAAAATAAAATAAATGTAAACCATATATGAGGCGTTAATAGTGTTCAAAATAATACATACTTAGCAAGAGAGAATAGACAACAACATATACAAGCTTATACAAGGATTGTAATTTTTCTACTTATCAAGTTCAAATAATCTTCAATTCTCTTTGCAAAAGTGTGCAATCGAACATAAAGTTTGCAATGTCATCATAATAGACCATAACTCACGGCAACTCATCCAAGACAAATGATTTCCTCCAAATGCTGCATCAAACTCGTTACAAATCAGAGCATTAAACCCTAACTTTCAAAAATCTCAAATTTATCATGGAAATTGGTAAATAAGCTATGGAAATCGTTTATCCAAACTACAAACAACAAGGAACAAGCATAATTTCCAAGAGTTTTGTGATTGAGCCAAACGTTAGCAAATCCATAGAGGAGATCATAAACTTGTCAAAGGTTTTATGGGCATGCATCTAATAGAAAGCAATACTGTATTTATCAGTTTAAGGGAAGCTGCCCACTGGATTGTTTTGATAAAGTTTAGAAAACATATTATAAATATAACTAACAATTTTAG